TCAATAAACAAAATATATATATGACTAAACTATACTATACTAATTAAATTATTTAATAAATAATAATAGTAAATACTTGATTTTATCTACACATTTAACATGACCAACGCACCTTAATGTTTCTTTTATACTTTAAAATAGAAAATAGTACAAGTACAATATAACTAACCATCTTGCAGTAGGTAATTGATATATTACAGTTTTTATATTACATTTTATATTACATTTTACAAGCATATTATTGAAATTATTGAAATTAGTACATATTTTAGTCTATTGGTCAAATAGATGAATTAATATTGAAATTGGTAAATAAGGTAGTTTATTTTTTAAATAGTAAATAATATATAGTAGTATAGGTATATAGTATATCGTAATTTAAATTTGAATTTGGCGCTAAATATTTCAGACCAATGAGAATGCCGTATTTCCCTATGGGTTTTATTTGATGTGCGGAATGTTAATATGCATCCGGGAGAACTATACTCGCCCGCATTCGATACGTCATGATTTTGATGGTCCGTCCCGCAACCATAGTATCTATTGCCGTGGTACAAGTGTACTTAACTATGTGGCAATACCATAGTTGATAATAATTAACAACACTGTTGCACGGTTGCACTTGCACGTCGCTCGAGTTTAGAACACTACAGGAATAGTGATGTGCTTATGACTACTATAATAGTACTGTGAGCAGTGAAGTGAACACTAACCTTTCCGAGAAGTAAAATTCTACAATCTATATATATATCTATCTAGGTATATATAAAAATAAATCCTTATTTCCCTTAATCGAGGCATCACGCTTATCGCTTATCATTTAAAACAGATCCATCTATCTTCTATCTATGAGGTGCGTCCCCACTGCATAGAGTAATATAGAGAGGCCGTTACATATATCTTGCGTATTCTAGTAGTGAAGCCAAATGTTCGGTCGTTGACCCTTATCGTTATTTAAAGGACAGTGATAAATAATTAGATAACTTAATGTTCTTATTTTTTTTTTTTTTTGTTTAAATAATTTATTAAATTTGTTTAAAACTATTTTATAAATATATACAAATTAATTACCTAATCAAGATAAAAATAATAATCATTTTTTTTTTAGAACATAATACAAGACAGTTACAACAGAAAATACAACTCAATTCGTTAAAATTATACATCATCATAAAACATTAAAACCAATATATTCCCCTAAATTATAATAATGTAATAGTAAAGTACTAAAGTATAACTTACAACAACGATTCTTCTATTATGAACCAACAATTTTGAAAAGTTTTATTTATTTATATAAACACAAATTATGACTTATTTAATATTATTATTAGTATAGGTACTTATTTTTCTTTAATTTATATTATTTTGTTCATTAGCTACCAACTACATGTGTATAAAAACAACTGTCCAACATTGGCACACAATATTATAATTTGTAATTATGTATATTAATCTTTAGTAGGTATTACAAATTAAATAAATTATTAAACTACCTTCTGAAATCTGAGTTCTAGACTTCTAGTTACTATAATAATATAGTTTTCTCAAAGTTCTTTTATCATGGTTGTTCTCAATTAGGTAAAAGTAAGTACAATAATTTTTTTCTTCTAAAAGTGGCTAGCCTGCCCAGAGTCTACTTGCGCTTCACGATAAAATGCAACGGCCTCTCTATTATACTACAGACTCTATGGCCTATGTGGCTATGTCCCACTGGCGGGCGGCTTGGGCCGCTCGGCTTCAATATTTTGGTGTAGACGCGAGGCCGCGCGGCTTTTGTAGCCGATCGGCCGAAGCCGAGGGTTCCCGAATTCTCGATGGTTGTCGGTAAACATCAAAGAAAGCCGCGTGGCATATTTATTGGGGACGTTGGCCGATCGGCCAAATAATGATTTTGTATACAAAATGCTACTGTGATTTATTTCAAATGATATTCCCTAATTATTTAAAACTAATTTTTTTAATATAGTTACTACTATAATTATTTTTGATCTAAATATAATTTAATTTGTTTGAAAATCTACCAAGTTACGTGTTTTGCAGATATTTCAAAGTTTTTTAACTGAAATTTTTGGTTTAATGTATATTGTTTGAAAAATAGTTTTTTCGAGTCGTAGATTCTCAGACTGACTTGATGAACCGGGAAGTACAAATTTATTATTACTACTATCAAAAGCATAATATGGATTATTACATTTTTAAAATGATACTGAAAATAATTGTATTTATAATCATACTTGTACCATACCATACCTGTATTTATAATCATACCTAAATGTTTTTCTCAATAATTAATTATGAAAGAATATAATGGACATTTTGTGAAAGGTATAATATATTATAGTATATAATATTATTTAATGACTAATTTAAGTATTTTAATTCTAAGAAAATCATTACTTAGACAAAACTACAATATTGGCTATTGCGAGAATTCGTGCTCAAAAGACTCAAATAAAATGTTATTTCTAACTTTTCGTAGAACTATTCATATTTAATTAAAATTATTATTTAGACCGTCTAATATTGAATTTTATTTTTAAATTAACAAATATAGACATATTATTGTAATTTGTAAATATAAGCAGGAAGTCGCCCATCACAACGTTAATGTATCTACTAGACTAGGTCGTACCCAGAATCTCTGCGGTTTCGCTTTTTTTAAAAAATTCTTTATTCGCAATGACTATGAACGCCGTGGCAGCCAATAATCCATCCTGATAGCACGACATTTAAATGAAAACTAAATACTTAATAAACTAATACTCATTTATGTTGATAATATTTTGTTGCTGGTAGAAAGCCGATTGTAGTGAGGACGGATAGGCCGAGCGGCTAAAGGCGAGCCACCAGGTCACCCGGCTAAGCCGCGCGGCCTAGCCACATGCAGTGGGGATGCACCTTGATATAAAACAGTTTATATATAATGTCTTGGTGCTCATTTTACAGTGGAATCAATCGGAAGATTAATGAACAATTTTATAGTGATTTTTTGATAAGTGTTTGTTTATCAGGTTAGTGCAATCACGCTTAAAATTTAAAAAAAACTTAAGTCACCCGCGGGCAGCCTTGCCATTTTAATTAATAACTAAAATCATAAAATAGTACTTATTTTTTTAAATTTGTTGTTGCCATTGGTTAATTGGGCAGATCAGGTATAATAATGCATCAAATTGAATTTTAGTACATTGCCTAACAAGGTGGTTGTCGGCTGAGTTACACTTATAGCCGCTCATCGGCGTGTAGACAATCAAAATAATTAACTATACAAATTATAATTGTAACTATAGAATCATTTTTTAATAACAATCTGTGTATAGAATCATTATAATAATTTGTAAATATTATTATTATTTTTTGAAAGGATTTTTCAAAATTAGACCTCTAAATGGGTAAAAGGGGTGTTTTTATATAGATATATAATACTCAGGCAACGCCGTGACGGGGCAGCTAGTATAATATTATAATCGAATAAATTATAGAGTAATCGTAGTAGGTAGTTGGTACATAGTACCTAATTGTTTATTGTGTGTGGCGGCTACCTATATATGCTGCGGAAGTGCGGACTTCTTATACGATGCATGTATTAAATAGAAATATGTGCTATTTGCCAATAATATGTAATGATGAAAGTGTAATATTACAAATAACAAGTGTCAAGTAAGTATTTGAAAAGCAAGGTCCACATTCCACAAGACCAACAGCGTTCTCTTCCAATATATAACTTCCATAAAGTCCTAATATTAGATTTCATATTTTGCTATTTTAGATATTTCGACGAGCGAAGTCGTAAATTCATAAATAAAATAATTAATATTTATCCAACTAAATATTTCATTTTTATTGTAGATATTACAAAATATGAGATTATCTTTTTTTTGTTACTCTTAAAATGTGTTTCTACTCTTGCCACCAGGTGCGACTGCTCCTTTTACATCTTCCCCTTGATGCGCCCCTGATCATGATTAAAATCATTATTTAAATTCACATCATAGTATTACACAGAGTGTAATAGAAGAACCGGACAAATGAAAAATGTATACAATCTTTAGTCTAAACATATGAAACAAATTGTGAAAATTATGTGGATAGTCCCTGATTTGAAATGTACTTATGTGATATGTCTTAAAATTCACAAAGTAATATTTTTAAAAAATACAGTAAGATTCAAAATAATATAGGTTTCTACTCTACTCATATATTATATATTATTTATTCCTTGTTTTCTTTTATCCTTGTATCCTTAACCTAAATTATATTTTATTGATTGTTGATTGTGTAGCGGTTAAGATCTTGTACCTATGTCATACGAAATAAATAAATTCCTTGTAATATACACTCGCAATTAATTGACATAGCCACATAAGTACCTACTATTAATTATTATATTTGAATGTTTTTGATGTTTATTATAGATATCGTTCGTTGTTTTCTGTTTTCAATTTTAAGTTTTGTTATATATTATTTTCTTCTACCCCTCTCCACACACTCACATTACTGTTTTCAAAAAAATCATTCAGTAAAATCGTACCTATACCTCCCTTTTACGTACGTAATATACGGCTTATATAGATTAATCTACCTTCAGTATTTAAATTATACACAACAGGTACACTAATACAGCAATATAAATATAATACATCGATCGATGTGAACAACAAAGTGGTGTATAGAATTTAGAGGTAATAAATAGTATTCAGTATGAACCTATGAAATCAGAAATAGCTAGGTGAGCACAATATTATTGAAACAAATTCCACAAAATTAAAATAACTACCTACCTAATACTTGAAATAATGTATGATTAAATTAGTAGATACATACGATTGTCGATTACGATTTACCAGAGGCCAAGCGTTATGAAACGTGTCAACAAAATAAAAATAAAAATAATCATCACGACCGGCAGATAACATAGGTAAAAAGTAGGAACATATGTACATATTATATATGTGTATATTGTATATATATCATAACAATTATCACTTCGTCGCTATATACTTACGCCTCGAAGATAGCCGCAATGCCGCATATAATATTATATTGTTAAAATTGCTGCTGCAGACAGAACATTATTTGATATTATTATTCATTATATATTTATTCAAACAGTCGCAATATTCATCTGCGGTCGCTCTACAATATCAATCGCGTTCGCGTATGGATTTATTATATTACCAATAAATAATAATATTTTATTAATGCTACATTGAGAACTTAAACTAACAATATCGGAGATATGACAAAATCTGAATGTTTTTTCGGATTTTTGAACGTATGTGGATGTGCTCTGTCAATAGCCACGTTCAACATGGTAAATATACCTAATAATTCCTACCAGCTATTCCAGCTATTTAGATTACTTACTTATAGTTATATTATATTATTTATGTATAGGTACCTATGTATAGTATAGATAGTACTCTTAATTATAGGTACCTTAAATGATATAATATATATGTAATGATATTGTACTGAGTGTTCTAGAGAAGTGAACTTAGTATGTTTTACATTTTTAGTTGTAAGTACCTATAGGTACTGGTTATAACTACCTAAAGATAATCAATAAAAAGTAGGTATTAAAAATTTATTGTGACTGTCTACAGACGATAATTTTTTTATCATATTTAACACCTATCTAGAATATATTTGATTTAATTTTGTGATAATAGTATTAGCATACATATATAGGCATTCAAATAGGTATAGTTTCTAGTTTAAAATATAAAGAACCAGTATGTTATTCTTATGTATAGTAGATGAAGGTAGTAATGTAGTATAATGATTTTTTCACAACATAACAATAATCATACTTTACAAAAACTAATTACACTTAATACCAAGTATAAACTGAAACAAATTACAATCAGTTAGAAAATATCTATCTATTTTAATATTTTATATAAGACATTTATCTTCTGAACAATTATGGTTAGATAATAATAGTTATTTTTATGTTTCAATTTTTATTATTTAAAAATTGAAAACTTTTTTAGTTTTCAATGGATTTAAATTAAGGTAATACATTTTTAATAATTGTAATATTATTTTATTGGAGACTAGTATATCTGCTAAATTATTTAATTAACTAATATATTTAAAAAAAAAAAAAAATAGAAATAAAAACCAAAGTAGATAGGTAGATAGGTATCAATGTATCATATTATTGTGACAACAAAATGGTGAGAATATATTTATTAAGCAATGAACATTTAAAACTAATTCTTTCTTTAGTAGGTATAATAATTACTTATGCTACCAATTGACAATAAAATACCCATTGGATAAACCAACTAATAATAATTAATAATTATTAATATCTGCAAGGAAAAATGTAATAAAATAAACCTAAGCCAACAACTTTTGAAAAATAAATGTTTGCATATTATGAGTATTTTCTCTCTCCACTACAGTCTGAACAAAATTTTCTCCTAAACTATTAACTATCATACAACTGTTAGGTATATTATGCTGTCTTATTTTTGTTCTATTATTGTTTGGTCTCACCATAATTAAGTAATTAATTAGAAATAAGTTAAATCATAAATTACATAATATAACATAATATAAGTTATCATTTTTTAGAAAAAAATATAATATGAATACAATTATAAGAACATATTGTATAAAATAGGAATTAATATTAATTAATTTTGATAACTTCAAAGTATAGAATAACCTTATACCACAAATCTATTAAATTATCTATAGTGAAAAATACTAATATTTTATTAAGACATTTATGAATGGTTATTAAAAAATTTTAAGTTAGATAGTTTATAGGCCAGGGATGGCAAATCCATGTCACGCGGGCCCGGGGTGGCACATGAACATTTTTGCTATTATATATTATATAATATATAATATTATTGGACCTATAATAAACTAAATTAACCTTTTTATACTAATACATTAATTATACAATCAAATTATAATATAACCAAGTATAATATTTTTAATATTTTTTTCATGGTACGCTCTAAAAAAAAAAATGTTATTACTAATTTTGGGCACGCAGTGTTCAAAAGGTTTGCCATCCCTGTTATAGGCTATGTATCTATCTTATTTATTTTTTATGAACATGCATCAATATATTATATATTAATTTTTATTTCTGATATTATCAAAATTATCTATATAGATAAAATTGTGGTTTAATTTGTTTTAATAAAAATTATCAATACACTAAAACAATTATAGCCCTATAGCCCCAGCGTATATAACATTGTTTACCTCAGGAATATATACAAATTAGTTGTGGTTGACGGTTAGGAATATAATCTACAGGACTGGTTTACGGCTTAGCTTAGTTATTAAAATTGTTTTGTAGTATCATATTATATAATATTAGGTATATGTTTTAGTTTCTATATAATTGTATGCATAATGAATTATATTCAATTGTATTTGTGGAGACGGATGAAAGCGTAAATTCTGTATGAATTTTTTTAAACGTGCTCAATCATTTCATCAAACATACAGCATAATAATTAGTATTTAACGGCAGTGCTATCTAATAATTTGGTATTATTCAGGTGTTTTATTTAAAACAGTATTAAACATGATAAATTGTATTTATCTTTTCAAAGAGTTAAGTATATACCTAGTATTAAATAATGATAAAATAGGTACTTACTAGAACATTTTTTAAGCATTTCTCAAATTCAGATTAATTCATAATTATTGTGTTAAGAATTTCATTTGTGATTCAGGCCAAAACAACTAACGAGGAATATAATGGCTTTTAATTGTTGCATAATTTGATAGATGATGGCTATATATTTACAGTTAATTAAATCTGAGACAGATGCTTGTAATAATATTACGTGTTTAATGTTTATAAATTATAAATATTAAAAACAAAAAACCAGAATTCAAGAATAGTGTGTTTTATGTTGAATGTTTGTTGTCATTGCGATAGAAAATCACTAGCTGTAAATTGTAATAAATTTGCTAAATTTGAATTCAACACTAAATTATTTTATTAAAAAAAAAGATTTTAGGCAGAGAATATCTTGTCAATTTATATTTCTAATTCTAAGGATATTTTATCATGTATGTATATTACTAAATTATTTTTCTATTATTGAGGCACCCTGTACTAACGTTATTTTGCCAACATTTTTCTCAAAATTACACTAACCGGGAATAATAAATGATGGTACTGAACTCAGTTTTCAAGTATTTTCAATTTCAAAATGTACAATGTCTTTTAAAAAAGACAATTTAAAGATTTTTTTACAAATTATTTCATACTTAAATAAAATAAAACATTGAAATGTAATATGGAGTATAGAAAGTTCATCCTTCAGATAAAATAAAAATTTTTTTATCAAAATCTGACAATTCTACAAAGCCTGAAACTTGTTTTCTGTGAACTAATATATTAAATTGTATCAACCTCCCTCCCTCCTGCCATAAATAGGTAGGTACCTACCATAAAAAAAATAATTAAATAGGTGAGATACTTGAAAGCATTTGTACAACTTTTTTAGAATATAATATGCCTTGATTATCAACATAAATGTAGATTTTTGGTAAAAATTGGTAGAAAATTGTGAACCCATAATGTTTCCACACGAACATGTTTAGTGGGGCCCATTATCTTCTTGATTTAAAATTAAAAAAAAATAATATGTTCAAAATTAGCTTATAAAATATAGGGTTAAATAAAATAACGTTAAATTACTACATGTATTTATTTTTAATAGTAACAACCATTGCCTACTTGCTTACAAAAGATAATATTAATTAACTTATGTTATTTATTTGAAATTATTTTAATCAAAATATTAATTGGCAATTAAATCATATGGTTTAAAAATTATTAAATTATTAATTTTTTTTTAGGTTTTTTTTGTGTTATGCATCTTAATTGCCATTCAATTGTGTATATTTAAGAACTCAATAATAACTGCAGGTAAGCTAGTTTCAGATACACACTTACTATACTTAGTCTTCTATTAAAAATAACTTCTGTATTGGAAAGTTTTTGTTTTTTGTTATTTTTGAAGAAAATATTTGTTGTGTTTTTTACTAAAACATTTTATCATTTAAATTTTCAAATAGGTGCCGATGATTGTAACTATTTTGAACATTTATGTACCACAATGTACAACACATACTATTCCGAAACATATTATAGAGCACAAAACTGACTAATGAAAAATACCCAATTTGAGGTCTACAACTCATAAGGCGTTGTTGTATTTTAAAACATAGAAATTTGCAAATAAAATCTGTCCTAAAAATAACATAACCATTGGTACTAAAAAGTATATTGTTTAATTTACAAACTACCTATTAAATAATAAATAAAAGCTTATACTCATCCAAAATAATCAAATTAATCAATACTAGATTTAAAATGAGAACATTTCTTGATCATAATTTTATAATAAACAAAAAATATATCCTTTTATGTTTCAGACTCAACTTTAATAGTAATAGCAATTTTAAAAAGTTTACCTCTATTATTCTTACTATGTTTGATACTTCACTTCAACAATAAATTGAAAAAAGCAACATTTATGGTAACAAAAATCATTAATTTCCTAATTCCAAAAATAAAATCGTAAAATAAATTAATAGATTATGAAATTTTTTTTTTTCAGCATAATCTTCTCTTTATTAGACAGTGGTTGATGTTTCATTGCATATTTTACACATTATTGTCTACTTTATTGTGTTATTATCTATTTACACATCCATTTTGTAAAACCATATTTGCCACAGTTACTATTATTATTGGTAAGTATTAATTATTGAAATCTGGTTTGAAAAATGTAATTATTTAAACTTACTTTTAGTTATGGAAACATACCAAATACACATAGTTAAAAGGTTTTATAACAATGAATTGGAACACTTATCCACCTCAAGTTGTAACGTAGACAAACAAGGTATAATATCAATATTTCCCAGAGGTTATTGAAGATATAAAATATTGGTTTAATTTTTTTATTATTATTTAAATGTTCCCAATATTTTTTACACTAATTCAAAAGGAGGAAAAGAGTAAAAACCCAATATTTTAGCTATAGATTAGTGTAGATATGTCAATGTATGTCTAAAGAAAATATAGAAATGTACGAAGAATGGACAATTTCACAGGATTCATTTTTAAAAGTTTCAAAGTTCAAGAGAATGAAAAACCAATGTATATGATCACATTCCAATAAACTAAGAAAATACATAATATATACATGGTGATTTTTTTAAATATGCTTACCTTCATTTTTCCCTTTAGTACTACGTTTATAAGTACACCTAAAGAACATAATATTTTCAAACTATTGATATTTTTTGTACTATTTAAAAATTGACCGTGGCAATAAAAAATTACATTTTCCAATTAAGAACCCCACCTTTTTTTATCTCAAATTATGTAGTTGATGTTTTTTTAAAAATGTTGATGTAGATATCTAAATAAAAGTTTTAGTTTATGGGAATTGAAATGTTTATACTCAGAACCATTATCTTTAAAAAAATGGTTTTTCAAAACTATATGAAATATTAGATGTAGGTAGTATATATAACTACACTATTATACATGGAACATTGGAACCATTTTTACAAATTATTTATATTGATAGAACAATAGTAATTACTAGAGTTAGGATGTTGATGACCTAAAAAACACACAAAAATGCCCTAAAAAAAATGAAAAAAAACCCTAAAAAAAGTGCAAAAATGCTCTAAAAACTTAAAATGACTTTAAAAATTATCTAAAACACTAATTAAGTAAGTGAAAAAACTTATTTATAAATAATAATTTTATTAGAGATAGGTATAATAATGGGTGTAATAGTAATTTAAAATATGAATTATAAATATATTAAGCATTTAAATAATTCAATATATAACACTCAAAGAGTAAATCTTATTGGAACGCGATAAATGTAATCACAACAAAAACCCCACAATAATAATATTAAAATTATTTTTTACTAATAGTCCAAATCCAAAGTTAGATTTTAAATAAATTAAATTTGTTTCCAAACTTGGATGTAACATTTGCCCTAAAATCTACAGTTTGTAAAAAATGCCCTAAAAGATGAAAAAATTACGTTAAAAAACAAAAAAAAATGTATTAATAGCTGAAAATACAAAAAATGCAAAAAAATGCAAAATAAAATTAGAATATTCTGCATCAAAGGAGCATGAAACAAATTTTTAGCTAGGATAGCATTGTACAGAATAAAAGGAAAAAAAATGCAAAAGTCATCAGTAATAACTAACATTTTCAAATCATCTATGCCTCCAGAGCTACTCAAATCATTACCCTAGACATATAAGGCCTAACACATATAGACCTAATCTGACCTTAATAAAACCTTATATGACTCAAAAACTACTTGCTCAAATTTTCAAATAAAAAAACCTGCTGAATAATTTAAAGTGGAAAAGGTGAACCTTTTTAAAACACAATTATCATTAAGTGGTAACAAAATCTCAAGTATTTAAAAATATGGTCTCCTAGTGTATTTCAAAATTCAAAAAATGAGAATTTGAATACATGCATAACTTGAGCATACAAATAGGGTAAGTATGCTTAAAAAATTATTTTGTACCTAAACTTATTATTAAAAAAAATTTCCAAAAATAATAAACAGTTGACAATATTGTAAACTTATAAGTTATAAGTGCAACAAATATTAATATTTACCTATCAAAATATAATAGTATTAATAGTTAATACCCAATACCTTTGTACAAAACCTAATTACACTAGTCTACCCAACCTATTAATATGTAACTCTCTGCGTTGCAGAACTCAAGGTAAGTTAACGTGTTGGGAAAGATAACAAATTGATTATATAAAAATAACTACTAAGCCAATCATCAATAATTTGATAAATCTGACATAAAAAAGTTAGTAGGTTACATTTGATTGCTCAAGTCACAAATTATTTTGATAATATTGATAGTAAATTTAATCAAAAAACCAAGTCACTGTTAGCCAACGTAATATTTAAACTATTGTCAAAACAATTAATAGAAAGTAGTAGTTAAAATCAAATATTTGAACAGATAATTAAATAGTATATATTCTTAGGTGTCATTTGATATATTGTTTATTTGATTTACATTTTTTTTTTCTATAAGTTATTAATTAAAACATGTGAAGGAGGTACAGGTAAGTTGGTATCTGCCGAAGACTAATTTATGTACACCAACTTACCCAAGTATTTTTTTCTATAAATGACACCTAGTGCTATTTATTATTAAAATGTATTAAAAGTTGGTACAAGATTTTCATTAAATATGTGTATTTAAATTTATTATTTCTAGGTTTATTGTTATAATTCATGTCAACTTACCCAAAAAGGAAAAACTAAAACTTAAAAACTTAAAGTTAAACTCCAGTAATAATTTGATATCATCATTACATGTGTACCAAGAGCAAACCTTAAGTGTGCCATATTACCTCTATCTATTTTCGATACCTATTTTAAGTATAGTAAATTAAAAATAAACTTTATTTATTCAACTTTATTGTAATTTACGCATTGCGTAAACCATTTAAAACTGAATTATGACAATTTAAAATTAAATATGATATTTATATATATTTTTATGCTTAATAGGTATTCGTATTATAACTTAAAAATGATTAACTGTCATTGGAAATTAAAAGGTTACCTAAATTCAAAAACTAAAATTTTTTTTCCTTAGTATCAAATTATATTAACGTTGCTTAACCTCAAAGAAATTTATAAAGTTTGACAGTAGTTCCTAATTATTCTTATACAATTCTGTTTGAAAAAGGTTTTCGAAACTATCATCAAGATTTTGGGGGAAAATATGCTAATGTAGGAAATTTTAGTATTTTGGGTATAAAAATAGGGCTGCATTCATAACAGCTTTTTGAAAATCAGCAATAATTTTCAATGGATTTTAATTTTGTTTTAAAATATTTAAAGCTAAAAACATATTGCGATAAGTTACTTCCTTTTTATCTGGTAAAAGAAAATGAACCAAACTATCAACTTAACATAATATTAATTGCACTGTAGATTGTATGGCAATAATATAAAACGACGATGATTTAAATATCCGACGACATCGTGATGTTGACGCTATCTCATATAAAACGACTATATGACGCACTACAATATTGCTCCCAATAATTACACGAAACCACAAATTCCAAATGTAACGCCTTTGGCGCAAAATAAACAAATACACATACATATGATTTTTGAACCTCGACATTTCACCGGTTGCTACATTCTAACATGTGTCTACAAATCAATACTGTAATTTTCAAAGCACCTGCTGAGTACCCATTTATTGGTGATGCATTTTTCAGCTGTGTTATTGAACAGGTTGTGTATCGATAAATAACCTACTGCACTCACTGACCTAAGAACTATTTTGAAACAAAGAGCAAAGATTTTAGTTTATACACCCACTCAATATTTTATAAAACTTCAAAAATGTGGATAAGTGGATTTCGTTCTGCTGGACAGTAGGTTACAAGTGGGTCAAATTGTTTTATCATTAAGGCCCCTGCAAATGTGTCATTTTTAAGGAGTTGTGTTTAGGCAATTATTTCGTTCCTGCGATTACTGATCGTCTTTGTGTGTGTAGTAAATGATTATTAGTGTGTGTATACTCCCCTACCATCACCCGCGACTCGCATAAATTTACAATACATTGTTATTTCTTATCTGATTTATGGTCGCATGCACGCACACGCACAAGTCATTCAATGTCTAGATCAAAATATTCAAAACCAATTTATGAACGTGAATTAGTCGTCGCACTGACAAAAATTAAGGTACTTCTAGTGGTTCGATTTAAAAAATGTAAAGGTGTTTGTGTTGCTAAACAAGTTTACTTTGCATCGGTCGGAGCACTTTTTCAATTTTAAAAAAATTCTTGACGAGAATAAATATTTTACATTTTATAAATTTATAAATTTTTAGTATTGAATATCTTCAAAAATATCAAAAATATGGTTCGACCGATGCAATGTAGACTTGTTGACTAATTAAAACATCTTTACATTTTTAAATCGAAAAACTAGAAGTACTTAAATTTTTGTCAGTCGCTAAGGTCGATTTGATGAAAAATGAATAGAGTTTGCAGGGGCATTAATAAAGCTTTCGATCGTCGCACGAATCGAAACTATACTGGCATGTAGATTATCTAACTATGTCCCGGGAGTAGGAAAACGATTTTTACCTCAGTTAAAGGCATTGGTCCAATGCATGAATTATAAATTACTAATTAATCTTTGCAAAATGCACGATTTTTAGTGCCAGTCCACACAAAAACTTATATTAATTAGTTTATGATTTTTATATTATAAATTATTATAAATGTCATTATAATATTAATTTGATTTAATTTTAAATCGATTTAAGTAATCGATTTTTATAATTTTATTATAATTATATATTTATATTATTAGATCAATGTCCACTGTAAATCAATATAATTTCAACAAAAAGTAAATTCTATTGAAAAATATCGGGACAGTGTACATAAATAATAATAGTGAATTACCTACAGCTGGTTGGCGAGACAGAAATAAAGTATTGTTGTGGGATCATTATAGTATTACATTTGATGTAAATATAATATAATAAATACTGCTAAGACGCTAAGACGATCATTATTTTTAAAGAACTAATAATTAATTATAAGAACCTAGTTATTGTTACATTGAATATTGCTGTAATGATATTATGTTTTTTCAAATTTTGAAACACGAATAAGTAATAACCGGTGATTGAAGAATGGATGTTGATTAACTAAAACTTACCATATTAATGCAAAACAAAAATAATGTATATGTTACCATAAGGTAACCTTGGTCATCTGACCAAGATAAGATTAGAAAGGTATAGTAAATGTACGGAAATTTGACAAAAACACAATAATTATACAGGTTCATTTAAAATTCATAAGATTTAAAAATCGAACTATTCAATTACTATACATAATACATTATCAGTGGCGTATCCAGAATTTTTTTTTTTTTTTTGGGGGGGGGGGGTTAATAAAAGTGTAACATATAACATTTTATTGAATTGTGTGTTTTTATTATAATAAATCATCATGCATTAAATATTTTATAAGTGTATAACTATTTTATAACGCTGACTATAAAAATTTGAAATATGTAAATATATTTTTTTTCAAACTATAAATTTATATTCAATTTTCGTTTCGATTTTTTAGCAAGTTCATCTAAAACATCATTAATATCCACGTTAATATCACGATGAATATTAAGTAAGGCTAAACCATTTAAACGTATTTGTCCAGAAGAATTTCTCAAATAAGTTTTCAAACGACGGAGTGTTGAAAACGATCGTTCTCCTGTGGCAGTAGATACTGTGTAATAAATATTTGAGGAAGCTTAGATATTATTGGATAAACCTCTGGACAGGTTTGGAAGTATACTTCCATAACATTTTTGTTCTTGAGTTCAGCAGATGTTAAAGTTGAATATTTAGTGTACCACAAATCTAATTCTCCGTTTAATAAATTATCGTTTAGATTTGAATCGGTACATTCATCAACTATATCTTGATATGTTTCTACTAATTGTTTGAATTTACCTTTAATCTCTTCAGATATTTTCATATCTATCTTGGGTAAAATACAATCAAAATTATTCAAGACAATCCTGTGTGATATAAATCTATCGTTCAATTGGTCTAAAAAATTATCTATAAAAGGTATGAATTCTGAGACTCTCAAAAAATATTCTGGATTATCTGATTTACATTGACGTGGCAAACTAACAGTAATATCAAATTTTTCACACAATGTTATCACAGATAAAAATAATTGTTGAAACACTACATCACAATTTTCTCTAATTTCCTGAATAGTATTTTGAACATTAGATGCAGCTTCTAGTGCAGTTTTTAGATCAAGATTTACTGTTTGAAGATATCGGCTGAGAGGAAAACTTATGGAAAGTATTTTCACTAAAATAGCTAAAGCTGTTTAAAATTTTAACTGTCTTATCGCAGTAAGTAGATGACTTGCAGAACTAGAAGTGTCAGAATCTGGCCAAAGTGTTATTTTATCTAGTGCATGTAAAATGGCTGGTTGAAGTTCTTCAAATAATATAACTGCATCATGGCGATCGACCCATCGAGTTGCACATACATTTTTTAGTTTAAAACGATTAGTCTGTGGAAATATTTCTTCTATTGATAATAAATACTTTGCCTTTTTGGATAACCGAAAAAGTACTTACACTTTGTATAGTACCCATACAATTTCTTACTTCTGGGACTTTACAGCTAAAAGTTATTGCTAAATTTAAACAATGGACACTGCAATGTAAATAAAAGGCACTAGGATGTTCATCGCGAATAAATTGTTGTACGCCATTATATCTGCCACTCATTGCTGCAGCTCCGTCGTACCCTTGCGCAGTTAAATATTTAGTATTTAGTCCGAAGTCAGTTATACTTTTCAATATAACATCAGATAATCCTTTTCTTAACAATTTTGAATTTCGATAAATTGTAAGAAGTCTTCTCTAATTTTATTTGCATTTAAATCGACATAACGAACACATAATGT